CACATTTAAAAGTGTAATTATACCCTTCTCCTTAATGAGTGACACAGCATATGTTTACACATGTTTTAGCTGACTTATGACAGCACATGGAGAAGCACATTGTGCATTTGGTGGCAACATCTAAACTAAGGAAAGAACAGCATCTGCTAACCTTGCTCAAGTATTTCAGAATGCACAAGGCTGGCAGAGAGCATTAGAGGGCCTTGGCTTCCTTTCCCCCACAATAATACTATTTGATTCTCTTCTACCTTTCTGTCCCTTCATACTTTTTCAGCAGAGAATATTCTTCTGAACTCTATACCTACTATATGGAAGTTAACAATAGGACAACAAAAATGGATTTTATGTGCTCTAATGGTAGCCAAGAGGCTAATATTGATGAACTGGAAGAATAAAGACATGTTCTCCTTTAATCAATGGATTGATAATATGATAACACCTGCACCCTATAAAAGGATTGCTTACAGACATAGATTATGCTTGGATAAATTTGGAATGAATTTATACAAAATGTAGTAGGCTATTAATATTTACATCAGTATTAGGATAATAATAGGATAATAATATCAAATTTATAAAAGAATGTATGGGTTAGGTCTATTTTTGTGTATATTCATATAATGCCCCCCTTTACACAGTTGTGTGCTTTGTTCTTTGTTTCTTTTGTATCACTTTATTGCTTTATAATTGAAATTTATTCAATAAGATATCAATTAAAAATATTCACACTTCTCTGAATTTTGCAGCAGCAGCAACAACAACAGCAACAATTTTATTATTTATACCCCGCCCATTTGGCTGGGTTTCCCCAACCACTCTAGGTGATTTACAACACATATAAAAACATAGTAAAATGTCAAACATTTGAAACTTCCCAATACAGGGCTACCTTCAGATGTCTTCTTAAAGTTGTGTAGTTCTTTATCTCCTTTATATTTGATGGGAGGGTGTTCCACAGGGAGGGAGCCACTACCAAGAAGGTCCTCTGTCTGGTTCCCAGTAACTTCAGTTCTCGCAGTGAGGTAATGCAGCTTTCCAGCAATTAATGTGTGCAAAAATGCAGATGCAAGGATAAAATGAACATCAAATGCAGTTTTGAAAGCAGTATACAGAATTGCATTATATTATGGGAACTTGCTTTGTAAAAATGTGTATATTAGGATAAAACTTGCACCAAAATGCTGATGAATTTTCATGAGGACTTCAAAACATCAAAAATCACAAAGTGATGTGGAAATATACAGAGCTGAGTAGAAAAATGAGAAACTGAGGGAAACAAAAATTATCAGATCTGCCCTTTTCAAGTACAAGTACCTGTTTTCAGGTCACCGTCCTATGACATTTTGTAAAGTGCAGTCACACAAATAGAATTTACCTGGATGATGTAATTGATACAGGAGAATGTAGTGTTACAAGTAACCTGGTCCAGAATTTGTTGTTTTAGAAAAGTTTATTTATGTATGTAACAACAGCAGCAGCCATGTTCTGTGAGCCCAGAAATGGAAAGTGAGCCAGGTCCCTTGTAAAGAGGAATGGCAGTTTAAGATGTCAGAATATGCAGAACTTGCAGGTTTAACACAGAGAATAAGAGAGCAAGAAGAACCTATATTTAAAGGAGAGTGTAAAATATTTATTGAATATATGAAAAACAATTGTACACAGATGAAAACACTGACAGCATTCAGATAAATTCAACAGAGTAAACAATATTTGATTGATGTAAAAGTGAAAAATTAATTTGGATGGTTATAATAAAATATGCAGGAAAGTATGATATGTAATATGAACCATCGAAGGAGATGGCTCCATGGAAGGAGAACGGATATTTTAAAGTTTGTAAAATGTTTATTTTGAAATGTAGAAAAATGGAAATTCAATTACACACACACACACACACACAGAGAGAGAGAGAGAGAGAGAGAGAGAGAGAGAGAATTTATTGTTTTAATATGCATTTATGCTTTTGCGTACTATGTTAGCAGCTCTGAAACCACTTCTTAGTATAAAAATGGGGGGGTTGTAACTAATTATACAAATTATTATACAACAAATTATATGGTAACAAAGCCTGTAGGAGCATTGATTATATATTTGTGGGGAATGCAATCTCTCCACACTTTTTTGGAGAGAGTACAGACGTGGGGTTTTCCCTTGAGAATGTGCATTGGGCATTTTATTTTATTCACAACTTTATGATCTGCTTCTTAACTATAGGAAGGAAATGGTTCAGATAATATAATCCAGACTGGAATAGGTGTTATCCCCCAAACACAGAGGAAGGCAGCTTAGTGATGAAAATAGCCTGTCAAGACAAGTGAGGACATGGCATGCATGCGACAAGAAAGTGAAATATAAATGCATTAAGCATTCATATTTTAGAATATTTTCTCTTTTCTAGAACTGATTGTTTAGTGGTATCCAAGTAGGAAGAATAAAGGGAAGAGAAAGCTGTCCTTTATTAGAACGTGGGGGTGTTTTTCTATTGTTTTAAATATTTAAATAAATTTAAATAAGTGTTTCTATGTCGTCACTGGCAAATCTGCTTTATCTCTTCCTCTGAAAATGCTAAAACAGATAAGATTGAATCTACAGGTCACTCTCTGAACACCAAAATTAAATATGTGTGTTCCTGTTGTGCAGCTGCAACATCAAAATGGGCCAGGCCCATAAAACAGAGACAGGTGGCGATAGAAGCCCTCCCCATTTGCTCACCTGTCGCTTTGAAGAATGGTTCCAGTGCTGGGGTGCAGATAGTCAAAAGTATGGGTATGTATTCACTGCTAAGGCTGAATCCCAGAAACAATAGGCAAGTGTGTCAGTATGATGATGATGATGATGATGAAGAAGAAGAAGAAAATAAATAAATAAATAAATAAATAAATAAATAAATATCACTGCACTTCTCAGTCAAGGGCTGGGGGTGGTACAGTATAACTAAAATATGGTACACTGGTGTGTGAATTTATCATCATCATTATCATTATTATCACTATTACTTTATGTCATGGTACCTCCCAGTTGGGAGCTGTGGGTGGTAAAGCATTCATAAAATACTGTAAATTAAAAACAGGTTCATTATTCCTGGTCTAAGAGCATACCTAGATTATACAGTCTAGGTTTCCTAGGATTGTAGATATACTTATTTAAGACAGAAGAATTCCAGAGGTCTCTGAGCGCATCTGGTTTGGCTATGGAGATCCAGACTACTGACAGGTATCTGCCATGATGGTGAAACTACTGAGTTTTTTTAGTTTTATATTGTGTCTGTGGTTGTGATTTGTTGTAAATGACCTGTGTTGAACCTGCCTTGGTTTGGCAAAGCAGGGCCACAATAGAATAGCTCTGTTGTCTGTGGGTGCGTTTGAGTGAGATTTTTGAGTGAGTTGAGTGGCACCACCCTCTCTACTCACTTTTTAGCCTATCTCTAAGATCAGTTCTCCCCTGCAGAGAGACAAGAAGAGCAGTGCTTTTTTTTCCCAGGGGGGATGCAGGGGTACACATACTCCTAAACATTTTGTGACTCTAAGTTTGGCCTCATTGAGGGGCAGTATTTCAATACGCCCTGCTCCTGCCAACCTAGCAGTTCGAAAGCACATCAAAGGGCAAGTAGATAAATAGGTACTGCTCCGGCGGGAAGGTAAACGACGTTTCCGTGCGCTGCTCCGGTTCGCCAGAAGTGGCATAGTCATGCTAGCCACATGACCTGGAAGCTGTACACCGGCTCCCTCGGCCAGTAAAGCGAGATGAGCGCCGCAACCCCAGAGTCGTTCGCGACTGGACCTAATGGTCAGGGGTCCCTTTACCTTTACCTATTTCAATATGAGTAGGAAAATGAGAGTACCTGTAGTAATGTAGATATAGTTAGAAAATCATTCCTTGGTCAAGTAAAAGAATGTGGCCTTGTGGGTATTTTATCAGCCGCAAGGACCCTGGGAAAGGGAGTTGTGTATCTTTAAACTCCAGACTCTCTGTCTCCTTACTCTGAGAGGTTTATGGAAGGAAGGGAGTTCTTGATTTAGTGAAAAGCTGGCACCTGGGTTCGGAGGGTGTGAACCTTTTCCTTCCCGGAGGTTGTTTGTTTTCTAATTGCTGAGAATTGGGGATCTGGTTAATTTCCCCAGGTGGGAGGAAGATTCTTTGATTAAGGGTTCAAACCTAAATTGACCCAGCTGCAAAAGAATGAGCTGATCAAATTAAGACTCTTGATTGGCTAAAAGTTACGACGCAAAGTCAGAATTGGGGATAAAAGATCAAGGGATGTTTTGTTCGTTGCTCTCTGCCATTGCTCTGCAAACTCGCAAAGATGCCCGGCTGTATCTTCCATCGATAGCCGTCGTTATGTCCTTTTGAAATGGAAATCTTCAAACAGCTCCATTACGCAACAGCTTGAAAGGACTCTCACTATTCTAACTATGTTCCTTTGTGAGTATGTACCAGCTAGTTATAATGTACAGCGTTATTATTTTCATGTTTGTAAGTCTTCTAAGGTGTGCCTGTGGTTTTTCCACATGTTTTCAGTTATTCTTTTAAAATAAACTTTTAATTTAGAACCTGTTGGTATTTGTGCCTTTTCCGGGGGAATAGCTAAATTCAAGCCTTCTGCTTAGTCACGCTTTACCGAGTGAATTTCTGCCTGCAAGCCTGTGGATGCAGCTTGTGAGGAAAGGGGGATTGCCAGGTTAATTGGACACACTCTTCTCCCTGGGTGGTGTCTTTGGGTTCCCCTGTACAAAAGGGAGTGGTGGCAGCCCTACCGGTGTGATTTCGGCCTGTGTTTGAGAAAAGTAACTCCCTCGCCAACCTACTCAAGAAACCTGGACTGGCCGGAGAGCAGAGTCGGGTGATGGAGGGGTAGTGTGGGCGAGTGGAACGTTACTACATGGTGGCAGCGGTGGGATCTAGAACTTCCCTGCGGAAAAGCACTGTAACGTTTTAAAAAGTTTGGCACGTATCTTTGGTGGCTTACAAACAGTTTGTTATTTTGGTCAGAGATAGTTAGGATGGAAGACTCTTTAGCAACTATGCAACAATCTATGAAAACTGTTGATCAATGGGGCGAATTGGGAGAAGCTAGTTCCCTGCCGGTGGAAACCAACCCCATGAGGACTCCAAGTCCTAGTGAAAAGTCCGCGTCCTGGTTTTCCGATGGGTCCCAGGAGGAGCTGGTGGATTCCAGTATCCCAGAGACGGTTCGGAAGGGTCAGCGAGAGACCTGCCGCGCGGAAGGAGGGAGGGATGCGTCAGAGTACCAAACCCTAAACCCTCGTGAGGAGGTGCAAGCAGAGGCAGCTTCTGCACGTCCTAGGGAAAATTTTCCTGTTTACACAGAGTCTAAAGAGATGGATTTCTCGGAAGGACTTGATGTGGAATGGACTCGAGATCCAGTGGACGGTGGATTCCGTTCCAGAGAAAAGTGTCCAAAAGTCGGTGAGGCTATTTGTCTAGCACCACGATACGACCGGAAGGCGTATGATTTTCAAAGTCTATCGCAACAGCGACAAGTGATGACGGAGAGAGAGTACAGCCGAGAGGCGTATGGGCCAGATGTGCGCAGGAAGGTGGAGCAGCCTTCGCTTAACCCGGGAAAGGTCTACTCGCCCGTCGGTGCTCAACAAGTGCGCGTGCCAGTACGCCGGTATGTAACGGAGGAGGAAGAGTTTTTTCAAAGACCCCAACGTGAATGCGTGGCGGCAGACCAGCAACGCCCGGATGGGTGGATGGCGCCTAGCAGAGTTCCAAGGTATGAACCTGTCCCAGTGCGGGGGGGAAACCAGCAACAACCGCCCCCCCCAGGACTGACTTTAAATAACCTTAATTGGAAGGTATTTCAGAGGTATCAACCTCCTACTGATGTACTGTGTTACCTAAACCTTTTTGAAGTAACTTGCAAGGACATGGGAGTCGCCCCAGAACTCTATATGGTGGTTTTGCGCTCCCTGGTCTGTGGGGATTTGTCAGAATTGATGGGACATCTTCCCCAAGATGACTTAAATAACTATGAGAAGTTTAAAAAACTAGTTATGCGGCGGCTTGGATTACACCCTGAGCAATATAGAAAAGCCTTCCGAAAGGTGGAGAAGGGTGGGCTCACTGACAACATAGCCGTATTTTCTGCAAAGATGGCTCAGAATTTCGAACTGTGGCTGGCAGCCGAGGGGGCTCGGGATGCGAAAGGATATCAAGCAGCTCCTGTTGATTGAGCAGTTCATGCGGTCATTGTCCCCTGGAATTGCTAGCTTGGTTGCAGATCAAAAGCCACGTACTTTGGAGGAAGCCACTACTTTGGCTGAGTCCTTTTGGGTTAATCGTGCCCAAAGGATTCCAAGAGGGGGGAACAATGCTAATAGGCCTATGATTGGGTCTGGAAGATCTACCCCCCCCCAGTAAAGAACCTAGCCGTGGGGTTCCTACACCTGCTAAAGACTTTGTTGCCACAGGGGGAGAGCGTTCAAATTGTCCCCAACGTCTGGACTGTGTTTCTTGTGTAAGAAGCCGGGACACGTGAAAGCAGCTTGTCCCCAGTTGGGAAATAAAAAACCCCAAATCCTCACGTCCACTCCCGCTGTGCGAATGATTCAGCGTCCGGAGGAAGACTGGGAGGAGGAGCAACTAAAATCCGGAGTGGAGCAGTGTTTGACTCTGAAGGAGGAGGGTGGGGTAACACCTAAAGCTGAAACATCCTGCTGTCCCAATAACTGCTGTTAATGTGGGTCCGGTGAGTGCGGGGAGTAATTTTAAAACCCCTCATGTGAACTGGGCGAGGTTGGAGTTTTCTGCCCCTATTGAAGTCAATAAAACTGTCGTGGAATCCTATCGGGACTCTGGCTCAGACATTACAAGCGTGTCTAGAGATCTGGTCTTGCCTAGCCAGATGCAGGCAAAGCCTCTGAAGATTAGTCCATACGGGGTAGAGGAGATTTTTCAGCCAACAGCAATAGTTCCCCTTAAATACAAAGGCTACAGCGGGGATCATTTGGTGATTGTTCATGACCCACAAGTTTGCAAAAGCCCCGTCTTGGTTGGGAACGATCTTGGATTTCAAGTTTACTTGCAACAACAAATCAAGGTGAATCCAGTAACTGTAGCATCTGTCCCCACCCCGATTCAGGCAGGGACTGACTCTGTTGAGCCTGAGACAGGGTTGGATGGAAAACCCGGAGGGGAGGGAGAGTTACCAATCTTGGATGCGGAACCCAAAAAGGACTTTGATGCCTCTGTCGAACTGGGGGATTTGGGTCAGAAGGTGGGAACTCACTATGATAATCTGCCCAATGAGCTACAAAGAGTCCCCTTGAAAGCAAATGTTTTGGAGAACCTTGTCCCGGATAGGGAGGGTGGAAGTGTGGCGCCTGATACTATAACTCCCAAAACTACTGAGACTGTTGAGACTGTAATAACTGAGAAATTGGTTGGGAGGAGGGTTGGCTTGATACGAATTGCCACTCCTTGTGTTAATGAGCCCTGCTCAGCGTCTGACGTCATCCCCAGGGTTCATCGAGTTGTTTGTGCCTTCTTTTCAAAGTATGGACTCTGTTTCCGTGACTTTATCAAAGGACTCAGTTTTGTCTCTATGGAACCAGCCTGACTTCCAGAAGAGTAATCCTGGGTGTGGAACTTTAATTCCCCAACTTGCAACTGCTGATTTGTTTATCTCCAAGGGTTGTATGGGGGAACCTTTTGATCCAGGTCTTGAACCCCAAGTTAGTGAAAATTCTCTTTTGGGGGAAAATGTTTTGAACTCTGCAGTTCCAACACAGCCGCTTGCAGAAAACCCCCTAGTACAACAAACTGTGAACTATGCAAGTGTTTCCTGTCAGCCAAATGCTGAGAGGCAAGCAGAAGGAGGGGGGTCAACTCAGCCCAATCAAGCAGCTGTAAGGACTTTTGAGTTTTTTGATCATTCTTTCCTAGGTTGCCGGGAGGCTGCGGAAACTCCACCTTGTGAGACTGTGTTATTTCTGTTGTGGCTAACCAAGAACTTTTTTGCCCGCAGCTCAAGGACTATAAAGACCCTGCTGATGTGTTTATTGTGTTTCAAAAGGTGTTTTGTAATGCAAATGTTTGTGTCAAGGAGAAAGTGAATTTGGTGGGTCTTTTACAGAATTTTAGTCCTAGGAAACAGGATGATGAGGTTAAGAGCAAATATGTTTTCAGGTTTGCTTGGAGTTTCATTTTGCCCAATCCCTGTGTTCAAAATCTGTTGGGTATGTTTAGAGGAAGATGGGAGGGATTGGAGGAATTTAAGCTGATTTTTCTGACTTGTGGCCAAAACGCCTTGAGCATGTGCAGAGTGTCTTGGCCCATTTGCAAGATCCAAACCTGTTCGAGAAGCTGGGATGTGCGAGATTCATTACTGTTATGGATTTGACCAAAGGGTATTGGCAAATCCCTTTGTCCCCTGAGGCTTCTGAAAAGTCTGCCTTTACTACTCATGTAGGCTTGTACCAGTTTAAAGTGTTACCCTTTGGATTGCGAAATGCTCCTGCAGCTTTCCAAAGGTTGATTAATTCCTTGATTCATGACATGAGGGAATTCTGCTGTGCTTATTTGGATGATCTAGTGGTTTTTTCCGAATCATGGCCAGAACATCTTAAACACCTGCAGAGAGTTTTGGCCCGGTTACAAGAAGCAAACTTGACTGTAAAAATGTCTAAATGCCAGTTTGCTCAAGGAGAAGTGGTGTATTTGGGATTTAGAGTTGGGTCTGGAAGCATCAAAACTCTGGAGGCTAAGATACAATGTATTCAAGAGTGGCCTCGCCCTCTGGTGAAAAAAGATGTACAGTCCTTCATAGGGCTGGTAAACTATTACAGGCGTTTCATCAACCACTTCTCAACCCTGGCAGCTCCTCTCACCAACCTTTGCAAGAAATCCTTGCCAGTTAAGGTAGAATGGGACTGAGGAGTGTCAAAGAGCTTTTGATTTGTTGAAACATGCATTGGTAAGCAATCAAGTCATGCTGGCCCCAGATCAGAGACGGCCGTTTAAAGTACAGACGGACGCTAGTCAATCTGGATTGGGTGCCGTTTTGTTGCAGGAAGACTCAGAGAAAAATTGGCGTCCCGTGGTTTATCTGAGTAAGAAATTGATAGCCCGGGAACAAAATTATTCCACCATTGAGAAGGAGTGTTTTGCTTTGGTCTGGGCTCTAACTAAATTGCGTCCCTACTTGTGGGGTACTTTCTTTGAGGTTCAGACTGATCACTCTCCTCTGTGTTGGTTGGAAAGAGGAAAAAACTCTAACCAGAAATTGGCCAGATGGAGTATGGCCTTGCAAGATTTCCAGTTTTAAAGTCACTCATATTGCTGGAAAGGAAAATGTGGTTGCTGATACCTTGTCTAGAATGTACCAATCTGTTCCATGAAGTGTGATATGTGTGTTATCTGTGTCCTCGAATGAGAATTCATTGTCTTGAAACTGTGTAAATATTGGATTAAGGGGGTGCTGCTAGTTATGTATGTTCAAAAGCTGCTAGAACCCCTGGACCAAGAAATCTACCTCAGTGTAAATAAGTGGATGAAATTACGGGACTTTACCCTGTTTATTTCATCTAGGGGGGAGGGTGTAGTAATGTAGATATAGTTAGAAAATCATTCCTTGGTCAAGTAAAAGAATGTGGCCTTGTGGGTATTTTATCAGCCGCAAGGACCCTGGGAAAGGGAGTTGTGTATCTTTAAACTCCAGACTCTCTGTCTCCTTACTCTGAGAGGTTTATGGAAGGAAGGGAGTTCTTGATTTAGTGAAAAGCTGGCACCTGGGTTCGGAGGGTGTGAACCTTTTCCTTCCCGGAGGTTGTTTGTTTTCTAATTGCTGAGAATTGGGGATCTGGTTAATTTCCCCAGGTGGGAGGAAGATTCTTTGATTAAGGGTTCAAACCTAAATTGACCCAGCTGCAAAAGAATGAGCTGATCAAATTAAGACTCTTGATTGGCTAAAAGTTACGACGCAAAGTCAGAATTGGGGATAAAAGATCAAGGGATGTTTTGTTCGTTGCTCTCTGCCATTGCTCTGCAAACTCGCAAAGATGCCCGGCTGTATCTTCCATCGATAGCCGTCGTTATGTCCTTTTGAAATGGAAATCTTCAAACAGCTCCATTACGCAACAGCTTGAAAGGACTCTCACTATTCTAACTATGTTCCTTTGTGAGTATGTACCAGCTAGTTATAATGTACAGCGTTATTATTTTCATGTTTGTAAGTCTTCTAAGGTGTGCCTGTGGTTTTTCCACATGTTTTCAGTTATTCTTTTAAAATAAACTTTAATTTAGAACCTGTTGGTATTTGTGCCTTTTCCGGGGGAATAGCTAAATTCAAGCCTTCTGCTTAGTCACGCTTTACCGAGTGAATTTCTGCCTGCAAGCCTGTGGATGCAGCTTGTGAGGAAAGGGGGATTGCCAGGTTAATTGGACACACTCTTCTCCCTGGGTGGTGTCTTTGGGTTCCCCTGTACAAAAGGGAGTGGTGGCAGCCCTACCGGTGTGATTTCGGCCTGTGTTTGAGAAAAGTAACTCCCTCGCCAACCTACTCAAGAAACCTGGACTGGCCGGAGAGCAGAGTCGGGTGATGGAGGGGTAGTGTGGGCGAGTGGAACGTTACTACAGTACCCCTAAACTTTTTTTTTTAGAAAAAAAAGCTCTGAAGAAGAGAAAAAGTGAACATATACATACTTCAGTTTTTAGGGGGCCCTGGGTAGAAGTCAGATCCCATAGAAATAATTTGAGCCTTGAAAAACATATAGAGCTAAAAGAAGTGGGTGGGTGGGTGGGTGTCACTTTTCCAACTTACTCCTTCAGCTTTTCAAGGGAGAACAAGGTAACCATCGCCACCACCTAATGACCAATGAGGTGAGGAGAAGGGTCAGAGGCCTTGAGGGTGCCAAGTGAAGACCTCAAGGACATTGTTGCACCCACAGTCATCATGTTGGTCACCCCTGCATTCAAGTTACTTAAAAGTATTCAGAATCATCATACACTTCTTAGTGGATGGTGCTCTATCAAAGATGTCTGTCAAAATCTGGACAGTGTCTATATAGTGTCAGGAAGTCTCCACACAATGGTCACTATTTCTTCTGCTTGAGAAACTGTTCTGTAACTTCTAATTCATAGTTCATGCACACACACAGCTGTTTGCTCAGAATCAAAGACCCAAATAATTGCCTAAACTAGTGGAACTGACAGTGCACATCAGAGTATAAATAAGACAAAGCGTTATTCAGGGGAAGAGGATCAATACATTTTCTCTCATGTGAATACTAGCTTCACACTATTCTTTCTAAACAATACTTATAAACCTGCTATATCTTATCCTCCCAAATCCATACGTAGAAGTTCTCTCAGAATGGGAGCTCAAATGAGGCATAATTGCTGACTCTGTTAAGAAAAGAAAATGAGAGGCCATTGGTGAATTTCAGGGTATAATAATAAAAAAATGACCAAAAACCTTTAGTCAGAAAATAAATATTGCTTAGTGCCGTTTCTCTCTTTGATTAAGATCTCTCACAAAGATAGCAGGATTTAGGATGATTCAGATGCACAAGACCCTTCTTCCCAATGGAAAAGGGGCACAGAATTATCTCATCAGTACTTCTGCAATAACACCCCACTTCTTAGGAATCTGTGGTTAAGGTCCTCTAGTTCAAGTAACTAGTTCCACTAGTGCAAGCCCACACTAACTCAATGGGGCTCTTCTCTCTCCTGTGCATTTTGTTTGCATTCAGGGGGAAACTACCCAATTCACTTATTTTGAACCAATATTTGAACTGAAACATTGTTGTCCTTTGGAATTCACAAATCTCTGAATTTTGTGATGTGGTTCTTCAAGGGACCAATGCGTGCAAAAATCCATATATTGGGGGAAAGTGTGCATAAAAATGCGTGCATTCTTGAAAATAACATAAAAACGTGTTATATTAGGGAAACCTGCTTGCAGAAATGTGTGGAGTATATTAGTCAAAACTGCTAACAAAAACATTTGTGTGAAATTCTCACAAATGCTGGTGAATTTTCATGAGGTTTTTTTGAAAAAAATATTGCAAATCATGGCGGAAATGTGAACTGAAGTGGAAAAATGAGAAATGGAGGGAAACCAAACCTAACAAATTCACCCATCCCTGCTCCCAACACAATTTGAATGGTGCATAGAATCCCTCTCAGTGATTAATGTGAGGGTGAAATGCCCCTTCCATTTCTTGGTCTAATTGGAGGTATACAAAACAACTAGAACCAGAGATGCACTGCCTCTTCTAGCAAATGCCCATATCTCACTAGGAAGAGCTACCTTGTGCCTTGTAAACCGCTCCTTCATGACAGTGAAAGATCTTGTTGAACCCTCCTCAAACAAGCAATATGGGATGAATAGAAAAAGCTGACTTCATGGCTAGTGCACCTCAATGCTGATTTATGGTTTTCATTCATTTCAGTAAATGCACATGAAGGTGAATCAGTTTCTTCATTTGTGTGAAACAAAGGTTTGAATAACATTGGATCTTCCTGCTCAGAGTAATAACTTACTCCTTTTAAATTGTCCATTATAACTACTTTTTCTCCTTCAGCATTTGTACATCAGCAGATGCAGGACAAAATGGT